TGATTTAGTAATTTGGTAATACCATATCTTATTGTCAGTGACGTGACAAGTCTGAACGCTAGGTTACACATTGCAGATATTAATGAATGTCGAAGTGTAGCCGAGAATGATTGTGATCCGAATGCACGTTGCCTGGATCGTGAACCAGCTATTCACGGAATCAGATATCAGTGTGTTTGTAAAGCAGGCTATAAAGGAACCGGTACAAAAGGTGGATGCGCAGGTCAGTTTTATCAGCTAACCAAAAAACAATGTAAACTTATAAAATACAGACCGCTACTCCTAGTCTACAATGAACCTGTATTAATTCTTCAACAAACAGTTATAGATGTTGATGAGTGTTTGGAAGTGTTCAACGCATGTCCACTACCGCATCAAAAATGCGTTAATACTATCGGAAGTTATCAATGCGGTTGCGAGAAAGGCTTCATTAAGCCACCAGGTGAGTATCGTATGGTATCGTAACAAATCAAAACAATCACTCCATTGTCGGTTGATTCGAATCTCTTGTTCAATTTGAGTTACTAGTAGCTAGGTTAAAGTTATTTGGCTAACTGCTTCATGCATTAGTATTCTGTAAGAGTATAGTATATAATATATTTTTGGTATTTTGAGCATATAGTATATTTTGAGTAACTGCATTTGTAAGTATATATAATATATCTCATGCATAGTATGTAAGAGTATATATTCATGCATTAGTATTTTAAGTATATTTTTGGGTGGATATGAGCATAGTTAACATGAAGTGGATTGAAGGTATGGATGCGTGTGTTAACAGGAACGAATGTGCTGATGGAAGCGCACAGTGTCCGTTGATGAGTCAATGTGTTGATCGTGTTCCCGGATATGCGTGCGAGTTAGTTCATTCGGTTCATATCACATCTACCTACATATAGCATTATCTTTATCACTCATAAATTGTGACTATCTTCATCAAATACAGTTCACTTTTGACTGTATTCATATTTTCATGTTATAGTGATACCGTATTACTAATTGATTGCAATTCAGATGTCTTCCTGGATTCCGTAAGGTTACAATCAATGGAACGTTCATTTGCGATAGTACGTTTTAGGAATACTATCAATTTCTAATCACTCCAAACCACACGTATTGACTGTGCGAATAATTTTTGTTAATTACAAAATATCACAAAACATCCGGGTATATAAGTCACATATAAGTCGGTTTTGTCATTCAACATATCGATGATTTGTTAATCAGTTGAGTTATCGTCACTATATTCCATC